TCATCTCTTCTCCCTCATGCTGAAATAAAAAGATTTATGAAGTGAAAAGGCTTTTAGATTGAGGAGCAGGGAGTGGTACATAGCAGCATGAGATACTGCACCAATACAAATGCCTTCTGTCAAGGGACATAGTTTTTAACTTGCTTTGCTACCATTTCCATTGGTCAACTTGGAAACAAAGCTGTACTGCTTCTAAGAATTGTTGCTTCTAAGAATTGTTACACAAGAAAGAATTGGTTGGTGACAGAAAAGAGGCAATAACTTCTACTAAGATACCAATGTCCTTTTAAAGTATCTACTAGAAAGAAAGAATTGTGAACAAAGATTTCTCAAATTTCTATGCAAATAGAATTAAGAGCCCACACCCAGAAACTCAAATGAATGATCTAGAAATGAATGGAAAATTAAGTAATGAAAACACTGCCCAAATACAACATCAGGTTTTTAATGAGAAATCACAGGAACTACCATTATCAAAGGAGTGAAAAGCAGGAGTATAAAATCCTGAAGAGGTTAAAGGCTAGATCACATAGAACCTTGTGTGATGATGGACAGGCCCACTGGGTTTAGCTTTTGTTTTAGTGAAACGAAAACTATTAAAAAGTTATAAATAAAAAATATCTTGAGGAAAAACAAAACTGAAACAAAGTATACCATGACTTACGGGATATAGCAAAAGTAGTTCCCATCAAATAAAAAGGCTTCTACACAGGGCAAAAAACCAATCAGCAAAGTAATGATTAACGAGGCTAAGGGAATGATACAGTTTTCATTTTTACAGATCTTTCTGCTATCTGTGAAAAGGAACTGTAAGCAAGACTAAGGTAAAAGGTAGAGACCCATTAGTGAAACACAAATAGTCCTTCCTGGGAAATAATGGTTGGTGATTTCAACTAGTTCCCTAAGAAAAGGAAAGGACACAAAGAAAAGGACATGAAGAAAAGGAAGAAATGTATCTTTTGGCAGGAGATATATTCTAGAGGCAGGATTGACAGGGTTAGAAAACAGATTTCATATGGGAGATACAGGAAAGTAAAATATCACGGATGTGCTTAGACAGACTGGTGGTACCTTTCATAGAGATTAGGAAGTCTGAGTAGGAAGGGAAAAATGAAATCAAGAGCTCAGTTTTGTTTATGTTTAGTCTGAGATTTCTATGAGACACGCAAGCAGAGATGTCAAACAGGTTATGACAGCTGGGAGAGCAGAAAAGAGGTACTGGTTAGAGTGTACAGTCTGGGAGGGAAGAACAATAATCAGAAAATAGCTGAAACCCCCTGAAGTGACACTACAGAAAAAGGGAAAGGCAATCCAGAATGAAGCAAAATAATAAATTAACTTTTAATAGGAAGCAACTGTGTTTTAAATGAGACTGGGCAATTTTCAAGAGGATCCATCTTTGGCAAGTTCTGTTCATTATTTTTGTCAATTACTTAAATAAAAATACAGATGCAGGCTCTTCAGATTGAAGGATGACATTTATTCTATCACTGAAATATGCAGCAATTGCCTGCTGAGTGCTGGGCATTAAGCTAGGTAGTATGGCTGCAACCTCAAGAACACATGCCATCCATGGGATTAATGGCAGTCAAACAGAATCATGTCCCGTGTATGAAGACATAGGGGCTGAATATTTATGTTCCCCATGTATGAAGACATAGGGAATAAAAAATGGTGGTAGGGGCTGAATATTTATGTTCCCCAGAAAATTCATACGTTGAAACCCTAACCCCCAAAGTGGGGGCCCTTAAGAGGTAATTATGCCTAGATGAGGACATGATGGGATTTGTGTCCTTTTAAGAAGAGGAAGGGGGAAAAAATGTTTAAAAATTGGTTCCCAGACAGATGAGAATGAGTGTTGCTGGCAATGGATGAGGAAACTCATCTCCAGCTGTGACTGCTCCCTTGAGAGCCCTGCCCTGTCTGGTAAGAGGGATAATGGAGGGAAGAGGAAGACAGCAGCATAGGCAGTTGCCTGCTTTGCTGCCAGGAAGATGATTTGAAAATAGTTCAAAGGGGTACTGGACCGAGAGGATCTTGTGAGTTACGGCAAACTAGATGCCTTCTGGACATCAGATAGCAAGGCTGACCACTCCAGAAGGAACACTGAGGAAATTCAACTCCATACAACCGAAGCTGGGTGAAGAGAGGCACCAAGAAACTATAGCCAGGTCAAGAACCTGCCATGGAAATCTTGAAGTGGTGCTCCTGTGTTTAGTGGGTGGCCCTGGGAAAGGGAAAGCTAATTGGTGAAGAGGTGCACCCCGAACTGAGGGTAGATACATGCAGAGGAGCTGGGGTGTCCCCGGCAGGTCAGGTCCCCAGTGAAGAGGAAAAGGCGCAAAACTGTGTCCCTCTTCCTTACCTTCTTAGGGACTTGATGAAGCTGACTCTGGGAAGCCACACAGCACAGCCCCACAGACTACAGAGGTGTGGAGTCTGGAAACCCAGAGAAGAGCATTGAGCAGTACTATAAACCTGAGTCACTCCCACATGCCACTTTCACCAGTGACTGGACCCCTCCAGGTGCCTCCCCATCCCCTGACTCAGTAGCTGCAGTTGAGTTCTCCCCAACAATCAGCTGGTAAAGTGGAAGTTCTATACCCTTAGGACACTTAAAGACACACACAACCTAGAAAGCCACAAAATGGGAACATGGAAAAACACTACACATGGCACCTTGAGTCAAGGAAATATTTCAGCAGAGAGAGAACAAATCACCAGAATCCAACCACAAAGATATGCAACGGCTTTTCTTCCTATCAGATACAAACTTTAAAATTATCATGATAAAGAAATTCAAAGAAATGGAAGAAAACACTAAAAAAGGTAATCAAAGATATACAAGAAAATTCAGAAAAACAAATGAATGTCCCAAGAAATAAAATTAATGAATAAAAGGTATAATTAAAACTTTAAATATGAAAATAATGGAGATGCAGGATGTAAAATGATCAACAGAGATGATTTTTTAAAAATCTTGAGAAACTATCAGTAAAACAAAAAGATACCTTACTGAATGGGAGAAAATATTTGTACACCATATATATATGTAGGGGCTGATATCTAAGATCTACAAAGAGCTCACACAACTCAACAAAAGGAAAACATCATAATAACCCAAACAAAAAACAGACAGAAGAGCTAAACAGGCACATCTCCAAAGAAGACATACAGATGGCCAGCAGGCATATGAAAATTGCTCATCATCATTTATCTTCAGGGAAATGCAAATAGAGATATGCACATTAAGATACCACCGCACACCTGTTAGACTGGCCCATAAGAGTAAGACCAGAAACAAGTGTTGATGAGGACATAAGAGAAACAGGAACCCTTGTACACTGCTGGTGGGAATGTACCCTACAGAAAACAGCACTGAGATTTCTGAAAACATTAAAAAAATTCTACATTTGATCCAGAAATTCCACTCCTAAGTACTACCTGAAAATGCAAAAGCACTTAATTCAAAAGGATATCTGCACTCCTGTGTTCACTGCCGCATTATTTACAACAGCCAAGCTATGGAAACAGCCTAAATGCCCAAAGACAAAGAAGTGGATTAAGATGTGGTATAAATACATAATGGACCACTCAGCTATAAGAACAAAAAAATAAAGGGGAAAAAGGATGGATGCTTGCCATTTGTGACAATATGGAGGGAACTGGAGGGGATTATGCTAAGCAAAATAAGCCAGAAGGGGAAAGACAAATACCGGATGGTACCACTTATATGTGGAATGTACAGAAACAAAACAAAAGGTCAGATAAAACCAAACCAATAACAAACCCTAGAAATTTGACTGTAGAACTGAGGCTACCAGAGGGGGCATTGAAGGGAGAAAAGACTGGGGCGGGGACATGATGGACTCTGATGGAGGATGTGGGTGGCTTGCAGTGGATGTGATATGTGATCCTATAACTATGAATGCTATACACTGCTGTAAACCAATTTGCATCAACAGATAGACAGATGACAGATTAAAAAATAGAAAGGTTCCCTCTTTCTCTCTACCACATGAGAGCACAGCAAGAAAATGTTGTCTACAAGCCAGTAAGAGAATGGATTCAGTCAGCTGATGGAAACATCCATGGGGGTTTTCTTATCCTCATCACCGGGGACTCAAAGCTATTAATCTGGTAGCTAAACAGCCAAACAAAGTAGAAACATTTAAATTCCACTTTGGCGAGTGAGCAGAAATTACCAATTATCAATGTCTTACATAAAAAACCAACATTTTACAGATGAAAAGATTATGAAAATACCATCTCCCTCACCATCGTCCTCCTCCACAAATTCAGCAGTTCTGTCAAAGGAACTCATGGTAACAGCGGCTTCCTCTGACCAAGTTTGGGCTTAGAGAACTTAGCTCCGTTGAGTTGTTTCCAGGGAGCTGGGTACCTCACTCAAGATCATTAATCATACAAATCGCTTTCATTAATAGCACAGGAAATAAAAAGCCTAAATCCCTCCAGTTGCAGGTTTACTTTACAGGAAGGTTGCCAGTCTATTTAAAACGATACATATAAAAATCTCCACATTTTAGACTTCAGAGAAAGATTTCTTTAGAGTAAAATTCAGCCTTTTCCTGGTACTTTCCTCACTTTTTTTTAGCAAAGATGTGACTGTGGTCTCCCAGAGCCCAAATAATTTGGAGTCCCATGGGGAAATGGGAAGACCTCTGAGGCCTTGGTGTCCTGGAAGAAAGGTAATAGACCTCAAAGCACTCAGGGACTGCACTAGAAAGGCCTAGAATCCAACACTAGAGCCCCACTTTGGTTGGAACCCCTTTAGTAAGCACCTGTTTCTTCTTGAGAGAGATGGGGTACATCTTGCCCAGAAAACAGTCCATGATCCTAATCAGAAGCCTCATCAAGGGTGCCTTGGCAGTGCCCCTAAGCAGCTGCATGCTAATGAGGCCCACTGCCCTTTTTCTATCTTCTGTGCAGCACCTGCCTTCCACAGAGGTCAAAGAAAGGTTGTCCAGGGGTGGCTGTACCTGTTTTTCCTGCTCCGCTCTCCCCAGTAATGAGAATACACTGGTCTTTATCTTGATCTCGTAGAGACCTGTATGCTTCATCTGACAGGGCAAAGCTGCAGGGGATAAAGGGGAAAAAAAGTCCTTAGAATTCAGCTCATTATTATGTGTTTATCAGCTGTAACTATGGGCTCTTTGAAGGGCCATAGATACACTTTTGATAGAAAGCTGAAATACCACCTTTTATTTCCTTCAAATTCTTTAAATAAACCCACCCACCCTTAGAGGCCCATTTTACCTTTCCCCAAGCATTTGCTGTTAACCAAAATGATATTAACTTATTGTACTCTGAAAACATGCTTTATTTAATCCACATACTCTATTTATGGTTCATTTTATTAAGATTGCAATTCAGAGACTGAGGAGAAAAGGTTAGAACACAGGTCCTCAAGTGGATAATGTTGAGATTTTCAGTAAGAGACACAAGTTGCAAAACCATTAGGAAGAAAAATGTTTTTCAACCATTAGAAGATTTCAGACGTGATTGTCACTAAGCTAACTACGGAACAACACAAATGATTGAGAAAGCAAGGTCCACCAGAAGCAGGCATGTCTTCCCATGTTTTCTTGTCCAGCACCCAGCCATCAAGCTTCTCACTGAGGCCTTTGATGACAAAGGGCCAGTCCTCATGATGGCCTTCTCCTCCTCAAAATTTACTTTATTTGTAAATTTGTAATTTTATAAATTTACAAATAAAGTAAATTTTGCCCCTTCTAGATAACTGAAAAATCATTTGACAAAATGATACTCCATGGGTAAAGAATATGGCCACATACATTAACTTAAAGGATTAAGTAAAAGTGTACAAGAACACTTTGAAAGTTGTAAATGTCCAGATCTGTTTGTATTATTCACACCTTCTTCTCCCCTACTAGAGTATAAGGCAGGGCACAGCCTGTCTTCCTTCCTATCTAACTACTCTCTTGCCATCTGTGAAGCCAAAAATACGGGCATAATCACTACCAAAAATGAATGAATGAATGAGTAGATTCTTTCCAAGTATATCAATGTCATCACTTGAAGAACAAAGAATGGTAAACAGGAAGTTCATTTCTTCTATCACAATCATGCAGAGAAGGGAAGTGGGCTTCGATTGCTTATTAGTCTTCCTTCCCTTCCCACTCTTTCCAGTTGTTTACAGATGCCACTAATCATCATCATCGGCAGAAAACCACATTACAGCAAATAAATGAACTTTTCCAACCATATGTGTTCACCAATCTCTTGGTAAATGTTTAACACAGACCTGTTCTGATGTTCCTAGGGCTGCAAGGTAGCCTTATATATTACACCATTACCAGATGTTAAATGATGCAAAATTACTTCTAACATGAATAACTGTACATGTATATGCATATGCACATATGTGTACACACACAAGGCTGTAGATCACAAATGACTCTGACATAAGGTTATTTCTAGTCCAAACACCTAAGTGGAACATACATTTTTTCTTGTCTGTCCAGAGAAAAATACTTAATTGCTGTCCCTCAAAACTGGGCTTGACTCATCTATTGAGATGAGTCAATATTTTAATACAAGATATTATAATACAAGATATTTTATTATATTTTAATACAAGATAAAACTAACGTGTATAGTTATTCTTTCAGTACTCTAAAGAGTCAATGATTTCAAGTTGCCATGAAAATTTACCAATTAAAATACTAAACATTGGGAAAACTGACCTGCACTACTGGCACACTCATCTCAAATACAGTAAAAAGGTCATCATCCTTATTTTGTATAATCACAAATCATTACTTCACTTAAAAATAAATGGCACAAAGTGCAAGTGCTGGAGAACACAGTCCCTCTTCCAATCTTGTTCTCATTCTCTCCAGCAACATTAGCACGTACCCATCACCAAGGCCAACATTTATAACTCTAAACTGAAACCACATGCCAGTCTCCAAAATCAGTCTATAATTAAGGAACCTAAATAAATCTTTAGAGACATTTTTACTTAAAAACAGTTGTGACCCATATGCTTCACATTATTTTGTGAGTATGTCAGCATTGTTATTTACCACACACAAAAATGAACGGTTTATTATAATATAATGACGATAACGTAAGGGGCAAGCCTGGTTTTTATCTCACCACATCAAGCACACGGTTTTAGCCACTTCTTCTGTCCTCTACTTGAGCTCTAAGAATAGACTGCCTGACATTTGAATGCAAGTCTCCCTTCATTTGCAGACCAGCTAAAAAGCTGTTCGTTGAGAGTCAAATTTTCCCCAGCACTGAGTATGTTCACTACACGTTTCCAAACAGCTGTATCTACCCCTTTTAGGTCGTAGAAGGTTGGCTGGGGGCTCATCTGTTATTTTTTGTCAGAGCAGAATGCTGGGTTGCGTGTTCAGAATTATCTCACTGGTATTTCTGTTTCTCCTCCATCTTATTTCTGTTCAGAATGTTAATCTCCACAGTGGTTCTGCTTTCATGGTTCTGCTTTCTGGTCCCAGAACTCCATGCTCCCTCTCTGCCATTTCCTTTCTAAGTTTTTTTTCCACTTACAGGGTAAAGCAGACAAGATGCTGTGACACCCAAATAAACAGTCGCCATCACTACCTATATTTTTCCAAGTGTATCCCTATTTCGCAGTCTCTGTGGCTGTCAAGTTGCTTGAGAAAGCAGGCTAATCCACTCTGAGGACTTTCAGTTTGGCATCTCCTTTAGAAAAAGTGTTTAAAATCTTTGTTTGATTCAGGAAACTTTCCTGAACTCAGTACTATTTCTACCTTTTTGTTTCATATCTTTTTCTTCAAAAAGCTCTTCAAATGGTACCCCCTTTCATTCAACCCTGAATCCTAGAATATCCTCAAATCATAATAGGGAAATTCTGCCTCTGAATTTAACTTAAAAATAACTTAAGTCTCAAAATTCCCATCGACAATTGAGATCTACAAATCTCAACTATTTCTTTCCTTTCTAGCTCTGGTTAGCCCTAAAAATTGGATGTTTCTAAAATTAAGTAATAAAAAAAATTAAATGTTTTTCCAAAACATTCCTAACCTCCAAGTGTTCCACCAATTTTAGATTTATATTGAACCCCACTGAGGGCTAAAGTAGTTCACAAGGAAGACATGGAAGGGAAGGAAATGGAGAAAGAGAATCATGTGTGTGGTGTGTTTTGTATGGTGACCTTGAAGGGTTTTTTTTTTCACTTGTTTGTTTTTAAGGAAGGCACAATGTTGGCCTTTTTATGAAAGCTATTGTAGACATCTGTACATTTGTAATTGTCTCACTCATATTCTTAATTCAGAAAAAGTTGACCTGCTTGAAAAAGTCACCTTGTAACATAAGTGTTCCTCTTCTACCCTTCTCATCTGTAGGGAAAATAAGTATTTACATTTGTTTGTTGCAAACAACTATAATTTTTTTTATTCTGGCAAGTTTTATTGTGTTTTTGTCTTCTGTCAGCACAAGCATGGTAATTTTTTTTTATTATAAATTTTATTTTTATATTCCCCATACAATTATGACCCCCTTATTTTGACCCCAATCCCTCCCCTCCCTGTCCCCCACCCCCCATAGAGTGTCTCTGGTTCATAGTTGTGTGTTGATTTTGATTTTTACTTTCTGATAGTTATTTTTTTTCCTGCTCCCTTATTTAAGTTTTCTAGATTCCTGCTATGAGTGAGACCATCCGGTATTTTTCTTTTTCTTTCTGGCTTATTTCGCTGAGCATGATCCCTTCCAGCGCCATCCATGTTGCTGCAAATTGCATGTGTTTATTTTTTTTGAATGCTGAGTAATATTCCATGGTGTATATGTACCACATACAAGCATGGTAAATTAACATTTACAACAAAACACTAGTCCCTCCTAGTCACAACACTGATAAGAATTTCTAAAAATGTAAGCTATATAAGATAATGAAAATAAGCTTTTCTTTAAAATAAGTAACGACGAGCAAAATAAATACTATGAAGTACAAAGAAAAGAATATGAAAATGAACAAAGGACAGGAGAGAGAAGGATGGAACATGGACCCAAATGCCAGCAAGGTTTCTATATTTAACATAAAGTGGAATAAGATCAACTCTATGAATTCTGAAAAGGATATATATTGTAATGCCTAGAACTATCACTAAAATTTAAAAAATTAACGGAATTCAAAAAATGTACAAATAATCTACATTGGGAGGTAGGAAAGAGGAAGAAAAACAGAGGGGGCAAACAAATAAATGATTAAATGATAAAAAAATTCAACCATATCAAGAATCACATTAAATATTACTTGACAAAATACTCCCATTAAAAGGCAGAGGATGTTAGAATGGATACAAAAGTAAAACCCAATTATATGCTGCCTATGGGGGTCACACCTAAAATGTGAAGTTACAGACAAGCTGAATTGAAATAAGGTGAAAAAAGACATACTGTGCAAAAACAATTGGTAAGTAAGCAAAACCACATTGCACTTTTTCTCCTTGAACACCTAAAGTCAGAAAGTGCCAAGTTTCATTTCATTATAAGCCACAAGTTACACCATGGCAGGATAAATGGCATAGTGCAGGTGAGACTTAACTATCATTAAAAAAAAATTATAATCATTTTTCTAAGGATATTTTGTCAACACTTAACTTTCTAAATTCAAATAGATTATTATGCCCTAAACAGAAGTAGCCACATTGATTTCTTTTGGCTACATAATGGGGAAAGACTTATTTCTATTAGTTAAAAAAACAGAAATTATCTTATCAAGGATAAATCATCTTAAGATGACATCTGCTCTGATGTGACAACACTAAAGCATCAAAAAAAGTCCAAAAGTCAGGCCTTAAATCAAGAGTCTTTCGCAAAAACAGACTTTGTAATCATTTTGTGAAATTTCATAGACTGTCTAAATCAGCCTCAATGGACACCAGGTCTTTTTTTTTTTTTTTTTAAAGATTCATTTATTTATTTATTTATACAAGTACTGGGCATAGTCAGAAGCACGGGAGGGTGAGAGAATTCACCAGAGTCAGAGCAGGGAGCAGAGCAGGCAGAAGGACCGAAGTACACTGCTGAGGGGAGCAGCAGGCGGCAGGAGAGGTCTGCGTG